TTTTTTCCAAAAATCGTTACTAGAAACTGGGGGTGCTGCTTATCTGTGGGAACATTTGAAAAAGGTGTCATGAATGCCCATTTTTGCACCCGATCTAATGCCTGGTTACTAAGCTTCTAATGTTTCGCGAAGAAATTCCTCTCAACAAATACCAGAAAAAGATCAATCATATGTCAAAGTTGGTAGAAACGATGTTCATTATATTAAAGTGCTAAATTTGTGGGTAAGACTGTGAAGTATTTTCTGTTGCAATGTGAATAGTAAGTTTACATTTGATGAACAGTGGATGAAGAAGACTTCTCAAGACTCAACTTTGGATTTCTTTTGATTTCTTTCAAAAAAATTTTTTCCAAAATTTGAGCTGCTAAATTCAGGGAGCGGCTTATCAACATGTTTATACGTCGGTAACCTATTTATGCTCATTGCCCTAGACAATGACATTGAAATTAGAACAGTACACGTGCACTTACTCAGAAAGTCCTAGGTGGTTTTTACTAGAATGAGGAATTTGACAAGTGGTGTAAGTTGTCTTTTATCTTGTAGGATGCTCAAAATTTGTTGTACTATAAAAGGATTAAAATCTCTCAAACTACATACTTTGTATTAGTGGCAACCTAACTGTGTATAAAAATTTTTCCTCAGGGACGTCTTGCCAAAGGAATTTGAATGTCACCTCTTTAATTTTTGTAAATGTTGGAAAAAGAAAAAGAAAACTGGATATTGTTGAATTATACTCCTCATGTCTTTCCTTTCAACCTTTTCACTCCCAAGATCTGATTAGGAATTCTCCCCTCTAGCTGCTACACATTTCCTTGTAAATTGGTTACAAGAATTTGGTGTTCAATCAAGTTAACAACTTCTACCTTAGAAGTTTGAGTATTCTCATTACCTGTTTGCTGGATCATGTAGGGATTTAGTAGGGAGAAGTTACAGGTTAATCTCTTCTGGGAGCTAAAGGATGAATGGTACTGATAAATAATTCAACACTTTAGGAGACAGTAGTGCTGAACTTGTCGAGAAGATGTGTAGGCTTTCTAAGAAGCTTGAGTTTGAGGGGATGCAAGAGTGTAGGAGATGGAGCGTTAAGGTACGCTTGTACTTTTAAAGATGTAATTAAGACCAAGGGAAGTTCACCTGAAGTCATTTTTCTATATGTACACAAAAATTTCAGTTGTTGTGGTCATGCTGTAAAGCAGTTGATTACCGCCAGCTTTGGGTAAAAATGTTAAATAATTAATATCATTGTGTGCTTTTTGTCATGTGTCTTTACTTGTATGTGTTTGCTGACTTGTAATTAATAGAGACCTGGCTGTCTGATACCCATAGTGTATTCCAAGCCCTCCCAACCCCCAACCCCTACCCCTCAACCCTGTACCCACTCTCTATCTCTCTCTGAATGTCTTTTTTAGACATTGATGTTTCATGATTCTGTCGTATGAACCCAAAAGATAAATGCTAACTTCTATAATCTGGCTTTCCTTTACAGAATCTTTGCCCAGCAGTGTAAAAATATTGAAGAATTAGTACTAGATGGATGTAAAAGAATTTCAGATAGGTATGTTTCCTCTGCTTGTTTTAAAAAGTGATAGAGTGTAGGAAAATACAGACCTAGTAACATGTACAGTGTAATGAAGTGTATTCTAAGTAATACTTATCTGTGGTGTGCAGCAATTTACGGTCTCTGTTGGGCTAACTGTGGAAAAAAGGCAACAACTTCCCTTTCTACAGATGGCTGGTATATGCACTTTATAAAACTTGTTTTGATTTGTTTGCCTTTCTTGGTTAACTTCATCAGAGAAAAACAACTGCATATACAATTTTATTAAGAAGTGGATGAAAGTCAACCAGAATGTATGAACAATAATTATAGGTAATTAAATCTATGCAATGAAGAAAATATTATTTGAATGAGCATCAACCATGTTAGCTTAACAACTTTATAACTGATAATGAATTTTCACACCGAACTGTAAATTGTTCGAATGCAGTGCAGAGAATTATATCATTTTCTATTTTCACTGTTAGTACGGGTGATACTTATTAGGTGATTGCTCTCTCTTCCTTCCACAGCACCGCCATTAGTCTAAGTAACTATAGTGGACGACTCAAGCATTTAGATGTGTCTTCCTGTCATCAAATCACAGATAACTCTCTTAGTGCTCTAAGGTTAGTTTAACACTAGCATTGTTTGCAAGGTATCTGTAAAGCAAGAAATTATTCTATTGATTCAGTAAATGTAAGATCCATCTGTTGTTTTGTTACAAAGAAGTGATGTTGGTGATGATACCAGCATTACACATGATGATGTGTAGTTTTCATTTACTCTTATTTATTACTTATTTCACTCCCAAGATCTCTTTAGCAATTCTCCCTACTGTCTTACATTCAATTCTTATGATGTTAGTGTGGAGAATTTGGTATTGTATCAACTAATGATCCCCTAATTGATGTTCTTCTTTATTCTTAACACTTGTCTGCTTGATATTGTATTGATATCGTGAGGAAAAATTCTGTCTTAGTCACTTATGGGTGTTAAAGGTCAAGAGTGTTAAAATTAATTTATATCAAATACCTGTAAATGATATAATTGATTTGTGAAGAGGAACCGCACTTTATATAAGGTGCAGCTATGTAGACAGTGCTAGCCACTACGTCTTGCTACTGACACAAAAAGTCAGCCTGCAGCTTCTTCAACACAAACCCTGTCTTGCTGTTTGGTTTACAGTAAAGGCTGCACCAAGCTCCAGTACATTAATGTATCATGGTGTAAACAAGTCTCATCTCATGGTCTTACATTTCTGGCACAAGGCTGTCACAACTTACTAGTATTTGTAGCCAAAGGATGTTCCTTGGTGAGTTGAGAATTTGGCAACTTTTATCACATTCCATGTGGGTGTGAATCTAGATTTGCTTCACTGTGCTTTGTGATTAGCCACAGAAACCTGTGTTCCTCTGATGTGTCAAATGGTCGATCAGCTTAGGACTTCAACATCCCCCAGGCAACCACTCACGCATTTGATCTTTTGATGACTGGTTCAATCAAATTTCTCCTCACCCCCTTCCCTGGGCAAAAATGCCATTCAAAGTGTGTGACCAATGAATTTTGTAGAATTTAGTGAAGTCATGTATCAGTTTCTGGTGGTACAGTGTAGCTGTTTAGCATTTTGCTGGTCAGCATCATTCTATGAGCGGGACAAATGACAGTGGAATGCTTGTAGTTTGCCTGGGTTGTTGGGGGGGGGGGGGCAATGGATGTTTAAGCTTTGAATTGACTGGTGCATGAGTTAATGATTTATTACTTTAGACCACGTAAATACACAACAAGTGTATTTCTCACTCTCATTTCTCAATTTACGTTTGTTTCAATTGGCCATTCCATTGTCTTCCATTTCAACTGGTTTAGTGATGAATACTTTGTTACTCTAGGGAATAAAATTAGATACATTATTATTATGTTGAGATAGGGGTAGAGGAAACTTATTGGTAGAGCAGCTACATGACTGTACAGTGTTTATTTCACTCAACTATCAAGCTGTTTTTGACCGGTGGCCAATTTATCATTTCAACTTTGTTGATATATTCAAATTATTATG